GCACTTAAGATTAATTGGACCGATTAGAGACAATTAAAAAAAAAAAAAAATTAGGCAAATAAAATATCTTTAAACGCGAAAAAACTTAAAGCTAAATAAATTACGTTTAGAACATATTTTCGAAACATCGTTCTTTTATAATTTTTTAAATAAAATTAAGCGATGTTTTTTATATAAAGTAACAACTTATGATTGTTTAAAAAGGAAACAAATGCTCTTTATTCAGCAAAGTTTGCAAGTTTTAGTTTTATTTAAGCTAAATTATTTTATTAATAAAAAAGTTAATTTTTTCAATACCTATTTTATGTTTCGCGTAGTTTGAAAAGTTTAACATATTTGAAGCAACTCTTCTTAGTAAGATAAACAAATGAAATAATTATATCATTGAATTACTATAGAAATTAAATTAACAAGATAGAAATCAACTAAAAAGGTTAAAAATACTTTATGACGAGGAAGCAAAACGGCTTTACAATATCGCTGATGATGTTTAGTGAGTGGGCTTTTTAACTTTAATTAGTATTTAAAGCAGAAAAAAGTATAACGAGTTTCAAGAATGGCAACTTAAGCGAAAATAATTAGAGTTAGTAAACCAATATATATAAACTTTTCTTTATATCTAACTATTTGCTACATATTTGTGTTCTGTCATGACCTCAGACGCGGTGCTTGATCATCCGCGAGTTACTTTGTATGCGTTGTTTGTGTTTAGTAACCAGAAACTTCTTATATGTTTGTTACATAATTTGTTTTAATAACTATAACGATTGAAACTTCATTGAAAACACAATTATTTTTGTAATTCTTTGTTTAAATCATAAAAATTGCTTTAAAAGATACATTACAATAAAAAACAGATACACAAAATTACATTTACATAAAGAATACATACTTTTTAAATAAAAAATAAGAATAAACTAATAAAATCTATAATTTACAATAAACTTTTGAAATTTTGACAATTATAATATATATTCAAAACATTTATTTTTGTAAACAAATAATATATATTTTTAAAACAAGAAAACTAGAAATCACAAATTGTGAATAATACTATTTCTAAAACATTTCAACAGAATACTCTTGAACTTTATTTTGCCAAGTCAGCATATTTTTTGAACCAATAGAATTAGTTTGTTCGTAAATCTGGCGGGTTTTTAGTGTTCGCGAATATTCTTTTTATTCTTTCGCACAAAGATGTTTTGAGAGCATTCAAGTTTATTATGTTTCATGTATGTCCATGAAACAAAAATTTTTTGTTTTGTACATAAACGTAAATGTTCTCAAAACAACTAAAAACCTGGCCAGTTTTTTGCAACTAAATATAATTTCCATGGTCAGTATTCGAGAGCGATCGCTCCCACTTCCCGACCAAGCCTGATATGCTCGAACTGTCAACTGACTTTATTGTCACATTTTATGGAGCATACTTTTTAAAGTCTCCTCTGGCGGCTCAGACTCCATTACATGATTTAGATGCTTTTAAGCTAGCTTTTGAAATGATGAGTAATAAGTTATATATATCCAAGTATGGTCGTCTGGGAAAGCTCGGTCCGTCACAGTTGGTACCTGACCTCACAGCTAGTTATTCTTTCAATAGCAAATCAACATTTAGAACTGAAGGAAAGAGCTGGACTAGCTCAGAAGCTGCTAGGTTTTAATTGTCCACAAACTGATGATTTTGAAAGGAAACAACCTCACCCTACAACACATGTGGTTCACATGTCAGTTTTGTCTGACTTTATCACTAAGGAGTCCTGGCTGCTCTTCACATACCTATTTATAACTACAGAAATAATAAACATATGGATAAAGGATAACTTTGAAAATGACTCCTACAGACATTTTCGACATCATATGGAAAATCAAGCAGTAGTAAATAACAGGGCTGAGCGCCACATCAAACTTGCACAGGATTTTGTAGCTGAAAATCATGACTTTCTTGATGATGACATGACTGAAAATCAAGATCTTTTACAGGATACCAGGCAAGTTGTGCAAAAAAACCAAAAAGAGGTTGGGAAAGACAAATTTTATGTAATCTTTGAGTCTATTATTCTTTAAATGACCAATGTGTAATAATATAAACTGTTAAATAAAAGATTTTTTTTTTTAGAACAAAAATAACTGAAAAATTGACAATTTTCAATTTGCAACCTCACATATGAAAATACCTTGTACTGGAACCCCTTGACTAGGAGACCTAAATTTTTTTTTTTGGTGTGTCCTGAGACCAAATAAGGATGATTGAGATAGGGTGCATTCAAAAGTATTTTGGTCAGGTTAAAAGTGGGACACCCTAATATATATATATATTTATATATACATACATACATATATATATATATATATATATATATATATATATATATATATATATATATATATATATATATATATATATAGGCCTCGGCGGGAAAAAATGAGTACAAGAGCGGAGAAAAGCTCCCCTAAAACGAACTTGGGAAGCTGTACAAGGTGCTTCTCATTTAAATCAGCGCTTTTTTTAAATTCTAATTTCTTTTTTGAAACAACCATGCCTTTTTAAAAGCATTTCAGTATATTATGTAATTAATTTTTTTAAAATTACATTGTGTTTTTTATTTTATTTAAAATGATAATTATACTTTTACTAATGATTTTATACTTTTACTTAGAAAAATTATACTTTTGCGAGAGTCATAAATAGCTCTTGTAAATCGTTTCAGGGGAGTGTGAGCTAAAGCTCTCGCTTCCCATCGAGGCCTCTCTCTCTCTCTCTCTCTCTCTCTCTCTATATATATATATATATATATATATATATATATATATATATATATATATATATATATATATATATATATATATATATATATATATATATATATATATATATATATATATATACACACACACACACATATAAATGAACATATATTACACCGCCTTTTCTTTTTCCTGAAAAAAATTACTTGAATGCTTAATACTTATCCATATTATTCATTTTTTTAGGTTTTATGACCCCCCAAAAAAGTGTAGGATCAGACATATACTTTTTGCATTTATTAATAATGTAGAATTGTATAATAAAACTGTTGAAAAAGTCTATGAGTATTTCAGCTATAACATAACTGCAAATAATATTCAAATCCTTGTGAATATAGGTAAAAAGTTAGCTGTCTACAAAGGATATTCAAAGCATTTCTTTGCTTTTTACAACGAACCTTTTCCTTAAACCAGTATTGAAAACCAAACAATCATTGCAGCCTAACCATTGTAGTAATGTTTATACTCTCTTGTGTTTGTCAGTTGCACCATACCATTGCCTCTAATCGGTCCAATTAATCTTTAGTGCATTTTTTTTTTGCTTTATAAAATGTTCTCAAAACGACTAAAAATTCCATGTACCACAATTGGTGTGACTTGCAAAAAGGTACAGAGTCATTCCATGTTAGCCTGCACATGTCAACTTTTTAAGGTTTTGTTAGTTTTCACATGTATTATACTGATTAAAATGTTGCAATAGTAAATATGAAATGGATTTTTTTAAAGATTTAATATTAAATATCTAAAAAAATCCATTTATGATATTTATTGTATAGTCTTTCAAATTATGAAAATGTTGCAATTTGTTAAAGTATTTATACAAAATAATGGACACATATTTTTTTACATAGTTTTTTATTTACTTTTTCAAAAATGATTTTAGGTTTAATTGACAAAAAAAAAAAAAAAACAACCAGAAAATTAAAAGTGATATGTCAAGCTACTTTGGCATGGAATGACTAAACTGCAAGTGGTGTTACTTACAATTTTATGATAGACAGCTATGGCTTACCTTGTTGTCGTGTTTATTGTTAACAATGATTATTATTAAGTTTCATTATTGAAATTTAAATTTTTATACCATTTACTAAAAGCCAAAACAAATTAATAACATTTTTTGCTTCAAAATAACATATAGTTTTTTTAATTTCTTTTTTAGATGAAAGGGGGAGGCACAACAATGCTTCATTTACTAAATATTTAGATATTTTGATGCATCTTGTAATGTGGTAAAAAAATTTATCGTAATTTCTCTTATTATAAATAGTATCAATTTAAATTTATTAATATTGCATTAAAAATTTTTTTTTTAAGGTCAGAGTGGCAGGGGAGGGGTGGCGGCGAGGGTTTATGCAACTCACCCTAATGTATTTATTCATTATTCATTAGTATACAGTGTAAAGAAGTGAATTATAATTTTGTTTTTTTTATTTTAGATTTACTCATTTTAATAAAAATAAAAATATTTATATCAATTATTTATTTTTGATAAAAAGCTGTGTTAAACCATCACACCACTATCTACCATTAACTCAAAAATACACCTTTCACATTTTGCCATGGTCGGAATGAATGTTATAACAGTTTCTTGTATATAAAAATTACAACTTTTGATAAAATAAGCTCGTTTTATTTTAAAAATTGAATTCTTTGACAGTGTAGATGGAGGCTTGGAGCACCCTCAGTGACAGTGTAGATGGAGGTTTGGTGCACCCTCTAGCCCCTGTTGCTCAAAACTACTTTAAATTTGTAGCTCAATCTAATACCTTTTTTTTGATACAAAGTTGTAGACGTTTTGTCAAGAATCGATAAAGTTATAACTATTTATGCAAAGAAAACTTAGTTTTGACCACAGTTTCTTCAACAAATCAGTTTTTTGACCACATTTTGACCACAGTTTCTTCAACAAATATGTCAAAAATTTGCTATTTAAAACCTTAAAACTTTTTAGTAAAATTGTTCGATTTTTATAATTTTTTCACCATTAAAATACTGTACTAAAGCTCTTTCTAACGATATTAACAATCTAGTAATTAATCAATTTAATATTTTCATGTAACACACTTATCTTAATAAAAAAAAACATTTTATTAAAAGTAAAACTGTTATTAAAATAATGGAAATATAAGTTTCAAATTTTTTTATTTATAAATAATTAGTTAAATAAATATCTACTGTTAAATATAACTACTTACTAAAAAAGATATAATTTGTTTAGAGAATTGACACGAGGTTCTTCCAAACGTTTTACCAGACGCCATCTTTACTTTATTTTTTTGCATCCGTAGATTTGATGTTCCGTAACTTTAAGTTTTTTTTTTTTTTTTTGTGTGTGTTTTTTATTACAATATTTAAGGGGGCTCACCCCCCTCAAAAATATTTCGACAACTACCAAGTTCAAAAGATTTTTAGGGTATTCATTGGAAAGGATAATACAATAGTGTTTAAAAAAATATATTTTCATTTTTAAAAAATGTCTGCTGTTGCCATGGTTACAAATTCAAAATGGCGAAAATCATAAATTCTTGAAATTTGGAAAGCTAATTCCATTGGGTTGGTAAACTATTTTTCAATGAAACTTTCTAACATTATTTATTTACATTAGAAGCATGCAATAAACCAAAAAAAAGTGAAATATTATTTCGGGAAGGATGTCTGTTTGAGTTTTTAAAAAATCAACAATATTTTTCTATATTTTCAACATAAAATTGAACTTTAGACAAGCTAATCACAGACAATATAAAATATTTAAATAAAACTTTTGGTTTATTGCATGAAACAATCTATTATGTGTGTTGTGTGAAAAAATCAGCTCGAAAGCTATAATAGAACCAAAGTTACTAAATTTCCAAATTCTATTAAATTCGGAAAAAATGCAATCTGAGAAAATAAGCAAAAAGTAAAACATTTTGTAAAAAGAGTTATAGTAAGATGTAATTTTTTAAAGTTTTTCGATTCTAAGATTAATAAAATCAATTTAAAAGGTGCTTTGATAATAGAAATTAATACAACATCTACATTATCTATAATTCTATATAAAAAAACTATATCACATGAAGGACATTTTTTGTCAAAAAAACGATATATAACTAAAAATAAGAAAACAGCATATCCAGAATAAAAAAACTAAATAAAATAAAAACATCTTTAAAATTAACTTCAAAATAATCCTGCTTTATAGGTTTTTCCTTCATTTTGTTTTTTTTATCATCTTTTTGTTTTTTTTGTCCTCTAATTTGACGACGACGGAGAACATTTTTTACTTCACTATGATTTATTGAATTTTTAATCCTTTTGGTATTGATTTTATCACATCCAAGATAGGTATAAAAACCTGGAACCATATTTAGCCTTTCATACAAATTAATAACAGCTTTAGCTCCAATGTTAAAATTAGATACAGCATCATAGATGCCCAAAGAAAGTTGTTGTAAACCTACAAATGTTGATTTGGGCAAACGTTCCCAAACCATATTATTAAATGACTCATTTTGATTTTGTGTTTTTCCATGTAAGCACTTGTCAAGAAGTGAATCACATGTCAACTCATTTATAACTTTTCTAACTCGCAATGCAATATTTGTTGGCAAGCCTGGACCATGCCTAAACTTGTCAACTTCATTACTTGCCACAGCTCTTTGATATCCGCACCAACTATTTTTTCCAGTTGGACAATTTACATGAAGATTGTTAATTTTATTAGATGCCACATGGCAAAAACCACTTATAATTCCTTTTTTCATGGCTTGTTTATCACCAACGTGCAGCCTGATAGCCAAGCCATAGTAGTTCTGAAGCTTATCAATAATTGCATTTGTTAGTTTTCCTTTTCCAACTATTCCTTTTGTTTCCTTTTTTAGTTTTCGTAAATGGGTTCCTACTCTCTTTTGCACATGCCCTATACATTCTCTCTTTACAACTTTTATACCGTTGTATATGTTTTCCACTGCAATAAAACTTTTAGAATCCCCATCTCCATATAATTCTGTATACCTCATTTGTGACTTAGTGGATCTTGCAAAAATAATTTTTGTGCCTTCTGTTTCCATATTTGGTGCTGATCCAGTAAAATTTGCTGAACAATGGTGATTGATTTCTAAATTAGTTTTCTCAAATGAGTCTGTCATTTTGTAAATGTTCTCACATTTTTTACAATACCTACTCATCGGAACTACGTCCAAAATTTTACCTGTGTCCATTGAAATGCAACTAACTTTTCCATTTAGCGATGAAAATCCTCATCTTTGCCAGGTGCCATCACATGACACAGGTACATCATAAAAATTATTTTGTGGTTGATTTTTGGATAACTCTTTTAGTTCTTGAGTTGCATCTTTCATAGTTTGAGTGGCATCAAACTTAACACTTTTTTTTAACTTAAAAACAATTTTTTTATAGTTATTTGAAGTAAATGGTGGTGGAAAATTCATAAGTGTATTAAAGCGATTAATACCAGCAAAGCCTTGACCACATCTACGCATTGAGTATACTATTCTGTAGTTTATATCAAACCCTCGTGACATAAATGGCAGTTTTTTTGATGTCCAAAATGAATGCTTCCATTGGCAAGAACATTTTACAGTCATTTTACTTGCTAATCCATGTTTTAAACTTTCACTTAGCTTTAAACATGAACTTTGTTTGCATTGAGGACAACCAAGAATTGAAATTAAGTTTGATAAATTATACATATCCAAAATTCGATTTCCAGTAATACCATCATTTAAAGGCTGAGAAATAGCATGGCTTGACAGCTTAGTAAACGATCTTGTTTTTGGTAATGATGCTGAAGTACTTGGAATAAGATTCAATAGTTCAGATTGCATGGACACAAATTGTTTTTTGTTTGTGTATTAATTTCCTTTAAACTTCCTTTTCTTTTTTTTTAAACTTGCAAAGTTTACTCTTTTAATTTTATCATTTGTTATAGTTTTTTTATTTGCCACATAATTTTTTTCCATTATCAACTTGATAATCAAGCTCTTCTTTTAAACTAATAATTATTTTTATACTTATCCACAACTAAAAATGCCAAGAAGTTATTTATAAATAAAAATAATAATCACTAAATATTCTACAGAACAAAATTTAATTTATAATAAAAAGTTAGACAGACAATGTGTAGTGTATTTATTTGGTTGTGTGAAAGTGTGGTTAACATGATCAAAAAGTTCATTTTGTAAGCTTTTCCAGACCAACATGGAAGCACTTTTAAAAATTAATACTTCACAGACTCAGATTAATCATATATGCTTAACTTTTAAGAAAAAGGAGTTGTAGATATGTGGAAAAGAAAAAAATAAAATCGTTGCTATGGACGTTGCTAAGAAGATTATTTTTGACTATGATCAAATAATCAAGAAATAGACATACTTATGTTTTTTTTTTTGAAAATTTTAATTCAGAATCAGATTCCTCGTTGATTTTTACACTTGAAACATGAAAAACCTAAAATTTCAAAAAAAATTATTTTTTTGCTATTTTGACAGGGGTGAGCCCCCTTAATACAATATTTACAAATATATCAATAAGAAAAATTGCATGCAAAGAAATCGTTAAAAAATATAGAATAAAGATAAAGAACGCGAATACTCAAAGAAGACCTTACAGGTCTTTTCACCGAGAACCACTGTTGAAGAACTTTGAACTTAATTTAGATTTTAGAAAAAAAAAAGTAAATAAATAAATACAACTTTTAAACTTTTCTTTAGTTATGGTCTTTATGGCTTGAATTACAATACTAATTCTTCTGAACCACATGACTCAAACAAAAACAATAATATCATAATATTCTTGATAAACAATTACGTCTTGCATCTTACTCGCATATATATATATATATATATATATATATATATATATATATATATATATATATATATATATATATATATATATATATATATATGGTTAACTTTTAGAAGTATACATCCATTCGCATACATTAATTTTTTTTAATAATAATATATATATATATATATATATATATATATATATATATATATATTACTATTATTATTATAGTTGTAGCCGTAAATTTACATAGAATGTACACATACAGCGAGCAGGGGAAACACCCCACTATAAACAACCAGTTTTATAAATATTTGTTCCAAACTTTTTCCACAACCAAGAGTCTAGTTTATTTTTGAAAGAAAGTACAGTGGAGTACAAAGTTATTTGCTCTGGTAGATTGTTCCAGTATTTTGCTGATCTATTATACAAATGATTATATCTTGGAAGACAGTTTAGAACATACTCACGCCTTATTTTAGAATGGTGACCACGAGACACGGAGTTAATATATTTTGGTAGATATTTATCATTAACTATATCAAAACGATGTATTAATTTAAAAATTTGGATTAAATCGCATCGAAGGCGTCGAAACTCAAGAGATGGTAGGTTTAATCTTTTTAGCCTTTCGCAGTATTGAAGATGCCTCAAGCTGTAAGCCCATTTTGTAGCTTTGCGTTGAACAGATTCAACCAAAGCCATATCAGCTTTTAAAAAAGGAGCCCAAATGGACACTCCATATTCAAGATGTGGTCTTATAAATACTTTATATAATTTGAGAGCCATTTTTTCATCAATGAAAGTGAATGTCTTTTTCAGCATACCGAGAATTTGTAGGGACTTAGAGACAACTGTTTGAATATGAGCGCTCCACTTGAGGTTAGATGTAAAAATGACTCCTAAATCACGTTCTTTAGTAGAGCTTCTTAGAGATTGGTTGATTCCTTGGTTATTTTGAAGAAAGTAATTGTAATGGGGATTGTTTCGACCGTAATGAATGACGCAGCATTTTGAAGTGTTTAACTTAAGTAACCAAGTGTTTGACCACTCGTATACCAAGCGTAGACGATCCTGCAGATCAACAAAATTAGATTGCGATAAGGTTTTAGAAAAAAGTTTAGTATCATCGGCAAATATCTCAGAAGTTTCAGTGAGTTTTGCGAGATCATTTGTGTAGAGAATGAAGAGGAGCGGGCCGAGAACAGAACCTTGAGGAACACCACTGAGAACATCAACCCATGCAGAGCTGGTATTGTTAATTGTAACGCGTTGCTTTCTGCCCACTAAAAAAGATTTAATCCATTGTAGGAGTTTGCCGTTTATTCCGAAAGATCTTAATTTTAACAAAAGTCTGTTGTGAGGTACAGAGTCAAACGCTTTGGCAAAGTCAAGATAGATTACATCAATAAATTGGTGAGATGCTATGGAGGACGAAATGATATCAAAAGTTTCTATTAGGTTAGTTACGCATGATTTATGATAAAGGAAGCCATGTTGATTTGCAGAGAGCATTTTATTATCGTTAATGTGCTTTAAAATT